CGATTGATATTTTGTTTTGAAAAAAAAACCTGAAAAAAACGTCGAACCGTTCTGCCTTGAAAGGAAAAATTTCTTGATCTGGATTGAAAACCTCCAATCCAAAGAAAAGGAAATACTAAACCGGTTAGGATCCACGAAAGCAGCGGCATCAGGATGCTAAAAAATGTAAAGATGTCTTGCAAGAAAACCACTACAACCGCAACGAAAAAGTTTCTGATTGTAAATCCTAGGTTCTCACCAGCGGCATCCCAATCACGGCCCCTCCAATTAATTGTAAATGTATCCTTTGCTTGATCTTTCTTCTCGGGTGGCACGTACCCATTCGTCTTCCTCCTGCAGCGAGAGGACCAATGCCCGTGTCAAGAACTAATTTGTGGTTATAACCCTGAACGGTAGTGGCCTAGGGGCATCCCACTCTAAACTTTAGTTCTAATATCAATTAAATATTTTTAAATCTGTCATAAGTATTCTTAAGTATTTTTAAGTATTTTCAATCCTGGATAGTTTTCATCGCAGTGACCGGTTGCTAATATAGTTGTTTGTTGTTTTAACTTGGACGATTTATGACTTTTCGTCTCGAATTTAGTGGAATTGATACTAATTTTACCATGTTTTAATTTAGATTATATGTGTAATCATGTTAATTAATGGGTAAATATTATAATTTGATTTATGAAATAGTGTAACAAAGTAAACAATTTTTCAGCTAACCAGGCAGAATATTCATTGGACTGTTTACATTCATCCGATTTGAATTACTGATTTATTCTAACTGACTGTTCTATGCGCTACCAAACATTTAGATTCCGAAGGCATTAAAGGACGTCAAACTGGCATTATTCTAACCTGTCAAATACAATCATCAAGGTCTTAGACCAAGAGTTTCCTTCATTTTATTTCACCTCAGAATTGTATAAGTTCTTGACAATTCTCAAGCAGATCAAATCAACCGAAGCTATGCTGCTCATTTGCTAGTGAGCCACGATAGTGAAGCGTACCATTTACAATTGCTGCAGTAGGATCTATTCGGGGGATGGTGGACCTCCCCATAGTGCCACTATTTGAGGAGCATATATTGCTGGATTACGCCGTACTGCCGAGAAAGTTAAGATAGTATCCTACTAGAAGTTAATTATTTTGTTTAAACTCTACATATATTTCGTGCTTTTAGGTTTCGGATGATGATTAAGGATTGCAAAACACTCGCTTCGTTAACTTTATATTCTATAGAGGCAACCAGATGACTCGTGCGACACGATGTAAGAAGACGTCTCCCAGGTTTGTCAAGGGGGAATACACATTTTAATATTGTGAAATAAAATTTATTCAATTCTCACAATAAAAAGATTAACATACCACAACCGTTTATGAATGTTTACAGCAGTATTTTCAGACCGTGGAGCATGCTCGCTGATTTCATATACGCGGTACACGATAAACACGAGAAGCAGTAATTAAACTATTCCAAAATTATCGAAAAAGGGGATATGCCGTTTAGATCTTGTCCAGACTTGATAATCGTTTCGAACATCAATTCTCAACGTTGTCCCACCGCTCGGTCTACATCGCCTAATTCCTTTTCGTTCAGTGGGGATTCGCGAACTCCAGGTTGAAAATCGATGGTTTAGAAAAAGAGCGTCGAAGGTTCCGGATACTATAAATTATTCTACACTTTTAGATAAACACATTCGGCTGGAGGCTATGAGATGTGATTCTCGGGATGCTAAAGTAAGGTGCGAATGGTGTGGAAAGCCTCCACAACTGCTAATTCAGCTCCGATCAGCCCAAATTACTTCAGTTAGTGTCACACTGTCAATAGCCTAATTTCCACATATTACACAATGATGGAATTCAAATCAACGAGGAACGGGTGGAAGATTCGCACAACTATCAGCTAGACAGAGCTAGACCATAGCGTGAAATGTTTGAGTGCTAGCGTAATGCGTGGCATCATTCAATTTGCTCTCGAAATTGAAGCCATAATCGGGATAACATTCCACCACTTCAAGGCATTATAATGATTGAATTTCTTGCAAAGGATAGGTACTTTAAAAATATTCGCTGAAAAATGATATACGATATTAGATAAACAAACAAATTAAATTTGCATGGCAACTGTGGTAACCTAGCTGGAAATAAACTAACGCTAAATATTTCTTAAGTATTTTTAAGTATTTCCAGATATCTTAGATATCAGTAAGGACTTTCTGTGTAGAACGCGAGAAATACAAAGTTTAGAGTGGGATGCCCCTAGGTAGTGGCTGCTGATTAAAATTGGATCTCTACAGTTGCGAAACGCTTATGGAACTCTATTACTGATTCTGACGCAGCAAGTCAGTGGTATAGCTAGCGGTCTTTTCCATGTCTTACTATGATATCCGGTGCTCGGGGCTAAGGTCATTTTAGCTGCAAATAATCCTCCCGCCGGTTGTTCTATTTCTTTAAACAAACAACAGCAAAGGAATCGCAGGGAGTCTGTCATTTTCAGCGTTATGTTATGATCGAGGATATGGTTGCCAGTAAATTTATTTTTTCTGTTGAAGTTTTGACAACTCCGTAAATATGATGAAGCACCCAGAAACACCTTCCGACACCCAAAAACACACATGAAACACAATAAGCACAAACACGTTGCGAGAGCATTTCCAGTCGATGGTATGAAGTAACATAAAAACACTTTGAATGTAACAACTCAAGGCGGGAGTAGCCGTCAACAATGCTGATGATGGTACAGCACGCAACAACCACCCTACTGCTTTCTCTCTGAGATGATCACGTTGGTCATGACGAGAGGAGCAACACAATAGTTGGGTAAAGAAGAATTGCATTATAACAAACCATCGACTGGAAATGCTTTCGCAACGTGGGGCTTTAGGTAGTGATGAAAACGTCGCTAGAACTATTCCTCAGCCGCAGTCAGTTTATGAGCAAAAGAGGGACGCACATTTTTTGCCTGTAGACTTGGAGACATACTTCAAGTCTCCGCGTACATCGTACGGGTTAGGCAAAAGATGTGCGTCTATCTTTAAAAACTGTCGCACTAATGGCCCTTCGCTCATTTTCAACTTCTATTCAATTTTCATACTGCCGTACTCTAACGGAACTATCCACCTACTCTCTTCTAAAAAAGATCATTCTCTAGCTAATAAATTATCACACTAAAGCTTCATGTTAGCATTTCCAACCAAATCTAAATTATGAAAATCGCGCAAAATGCGAAGGCCGCGCGAGACATTATCACTTTAAGAGTGCCACCAAAATATATGTGATAGCCTGTGTTGGCAAGTTGATTAATTTTGATTTCCTCCCTAGATATTCTACTTATTTGACTATTGAGCTTTGTTTCAAATTAGTTATTTCATCGCACGCATCAATTATTTAAAAAAAAAAATCGCGGCCGTACCGAACAAATTCTAAACTACATAAGCTCGAAAAACTTTTGGCAAGCTCTACCGAATTGCGAATCACTTACTCACTGTAGCAAGACAACTGTCGGTAGACTGCGAACTCTCTTCGCTGTTCGACTTGATCAAGGTAGATCTAAAGGTACTCAACCTGCCATTGTACGAAGGGCCAAAAACGGTTTGGGTGAATCCGTGGGCAACATCGCCCACGTGCATCCACGGAATAGGTGAGAATCTCCTTCCAACAACAGGATCATACAACCGGTAATAAACAGGCCACAGGAGGATGCTCCAATGAGTGGGGAGAAAGACCCGCCCTCTTTTCACGAAATGTTAAAGACAGAAAGAAAGATCTCACTCGATATGTTGCAAAGGAATCCATAACATTACGATGATCTCGATGAGCTACCATAGATTTGCTGCCGCTACTTCTTCAACCGGTGTTAAAAACAGCACTCTCGCCTTTTGTTCCTCACACAGCATAGTAAACCCCAATCAACCACGAAACATACTCTAGCTGCTCCAACTAGAGATATCAGCAGATTAAAAAAGGAATGCGTCCACTTTCGATCACCAATCACTTGCGACATAACGGCAACGGTTTACCAGTAGTCTGAAAGAAGCAGTTGCGTTGAACCCTACCCCGCCGCCTCCTATGCATAATATGATAATATTTAACATAAGCCTTTTCGCACATACCTATCATTCGTAAATTATGTCTCTTCTTTTCCCTGAATCATTGAGCAATATTGGTTGACTTTGAATAAGTAAGATGGATCGGATCGGAGCTGTTTCGGAATTGAGAACCAATGCAAGGAAAGTTCGAAGTAAAATAATCGTATGTCTACCTAATGTATGTAACCGTCGTGTTGCCAAATTGGCTCGTTTATCGTTTCTACAAAACGACGTCAAGATATAATTTAATCATAGATTTTCCTAGAATAAATAAGGCAAAGGGCTTGGTATTTCATTGTTGTTCTTTTCTGAGCTCAGATGATGGGCCAAGACTCCAGCGCTATGATGGCTTGAATAGCGAAGAAACGCTCCCTTGGCCCGACCTACACTCAGCAGAGTATCGTTGACAAAGTACACTGGAGTCGCTTTTTACGCGGGTGATACGTCCCGCGTAAAAAAAAACCGCGTAAAAAAAAACCGCGTAAATTCCGGAATCCGCGTAAAAAAAAACCGCGTAAATTCCGAAATCCGCGTAAAAAAAAACCGAGTAAAAAAAGACCGTGTAAGAAAAAAGCGCGTAAAAAGCGATATACCGCGTAAATTCAGAAATCCGCGTAAAAAAAAACCAAAATCCGCGTAAAAAAAAACCGCGTAAATTCCGGAATCCGCGTAAAAAAAAACCGCGTAAATTCCGAAATCCGCGTAAAAAAAAACCGCGTAAAAAAAACCGTGTAAAAAAAAACCGCGTAAAAAGCGACTCCAGTGTAATAGCAGATTGGCCTTTTGTCCCAGTTATTCCGGATATGGTAGATTTGTGTGGTGATTTTAGCGTAGAATAAAACAAAGCGCCCATTGCGGGCGGCTCTGTATCAAAATACATTAAAAGCAACAATATGTGATATTTCAATGAATAAAATTGAAATATTTTGCACATTCCGACATCGTTATTAATACGAACTATACTTAAGTCCGGTGGTGACCAGAGAGATAAGGTTAGAGTTTACTTTCATGTGGCTTCATTACTGGCGTTATTCTTCTGGTCTAGCTTATTGGAGTTGGACTTAACCATGTAGATGAAATAGGTGAGAATTTCCTTTTCCTTGATCGGAATGGTTTTGAAGTGTTTCATGATTGTCTGGGTGGGAAAAGATAGCAGTTTGAGTCTGAACTGTAAATTTAATTGCAGAAAGCAGTTACCTCCGACAGTTGTGCTTTGTTGATACCGGGGCGCGTGGATACCTTGTAGAATCGTTTGTACCTACGGAGGGTATTGACCTGCAGTTGGTACAGATCTACTTCCGGTAGATCTGTATCCGTCTCGTTGCTGTCGTCTTCGGAATCGCGACGGCGGCGTTTCGTGCGGGCACACTGGATACGGCCCTTGTGAAAGTCACAGATATAGATGTGCCTCGCCTAGGAATGAAAAAGGATATTGTTAGAATTTTTAATGTAAACATTTTAGTGCCAACATTTCAAAGGGGCGTAAACAATGGCTTTGGTTGTCGATTTCTCACGAATAAAAGCTCACTCATGAAAATTAATGACATCAACAGGTGAGGGATGTTTCCTCTACCAGCTAGCTTTATTAATTTGGATGGATGAGCTTTAAGTTGCGAGAAATTGACGGCTAAAGCCATTGTTTGCAAAAGCAATTAGGCCCCTTCGAAATGTTGGCAGGGACAAATCTTAAAAATGTTTTGAGTTTAGTAGCTACAATAATTTGTAAAATTCATAAACATTTTTTGCTCAACATAAATTTTGTTGAATCGTTTCTGACCAGTGTACCACAATCCAAACATACACAACTGCAAAGCGTGTATGAAACGTAAACTAACGTGAGCAACGAAAGCAAACATCACTGGTAGTGGAAGCCAAAAAAAAAAGTATCACATAACCAGAGAACCACTCTTTTACATACAATGTACTTACAGCTGTATCGATACTGAGCTTGAGCCGCCTCTGTGTCACGGTCTTCTGAATGCGTTTGCTGTAGGAGGCATTCCCGGCCTGGTTTCGACAGCGTTCGCCATCGTCTAGCAGGCAACAGACCTGATCCGCCGGACCACGGGAGTCTTCCTCACCGGTACTGAAGCCGTTGTTATTCATCACGGATTCAAACTTGGCCCAGGCGAAGAAACGGGTTGCACAAATTTTGTAACTAATTATTAGCACTTTTTCACGAAAATGTTTCCGATTCGAAAATAAACCATAGGGTTCCGAAACGCCACTTCCTTTTGGCTATACACGTTATTTGTAACACACACCGAGGATACTAGTTTACTAGCTTTCAAGATTGACTAGATAATCGTAAAATCATAAAGAATTTCAACTTTAAAATTGGAATCACCGTGAAACACTTGCAATAATGGCTACCACAAAATAAGAAAACAGACAGATTGGTGAGCATCAGAATACTGGCGTTGACGAGTGTGTTGATTTTGTTTGCGGTTTTACGTGAGAAAGTGAAAGAGAAGATTTTTCGCTTTTTTTTTACACACACTTTAATGAGAAACACCATTGGAGTAAAGATAATATCCCGAGTCCCGGCTCAGAGACCACCATTGGCATTGGCGTTGACGGCGACTCTGTAGCTCTTTACTCCTATGAGAAAATCCATAAGCAAACGTCAGACTGTGCGTGAAATATGGCGGACTTTGTACTATCCTTTCACTCCAGCGAAAATTCCCATATGAAACTGTCTAAATTTTCTGGAAGAGCAAATTTTTCGACGGTGCCTGTGACTGTCTTTGAACAAGGAGACTATCTTTACTCCAACGTTGTTTCTCTTTAACGTGTGTGTAAAAAAGCAAACAATCTTCTGTCTTCACTTTCTCGCGTAAAACCTCAAACAATATCAACACACTCGACAGCGCAAATGATTCTGGTTCAATGAATAAATACAGGTGAGGTCCAGAGAGTTTGTCGTCTCTTTTGTTCCTCCGCTGTTTAAATGGATGACGGAGTTTGATGTCATACTCCGTCAGCCATTTAAACAGGGGAGGCGCAAAAGAGATGACCAGTTCGCTGGGCTCACCTGTTTACACTCATTGGCCTCTACTGTTTTGTGTGCACTTGTGTGTGGAGATTTGAGTTATCGACCTTCATTCCTCCAGCGTTGCCAGATATACACATTGATCGGTATTCATACCGATTTTCGAACTTGATACCGATATGCAGATAATAAGGTTCTTCAGAATACCGATTTTTGTGATGTCATACCGATTAATTATTACATGCCCACACTCAAATATCAGAGAAAACTATTGTGACTTTTATTTTTTTAATATGTCAAATTTGTAGAGCCTGCTGAAAATGCTCAACAAATTATTCATCATTAAAAATTACTGATGCTTGATACTCTTTCAACTAGTATTTCCATTTCCTCGCCGTTTTTGGCTACCCTGGAATCGAGAAACAGATGATGGCTGATCCCGGTAATTCCTGGGAATCGGGAAATGTGATCAAAAAGTAAGAGGTTGTATCAAGGACACGACCGTAGATTTACGTAGGATTACGAAAGGTAGTTTTGATGTCACAGCAAAAATATAGTAAAATTAGATTGATTTCTTAACTTGTTATCAGTGAAAAATTTCGATAGGTTGTAATCCGGAAGTAATTTGAGAGTTCTGTTTTTGAGATGCTCTGTCGATGTCCATGTAGTACAAGCCAATCCTGGACGATATGTCTTTGATTCAAGCTCTTACTCTATAGTTAACTCTTTTATCAGTCATTTTTGGTCCTGAAAAGGATCGATGGGTTGGAAGCTAGTTAAGAACAACACTGTGGAATTTTTTCCTCGATGTTCTTGGAGATGATAGCGGTACGGAAATGAAATATGTATTAGGGAAAACACATCAATCACAGAATCTGAGCCTACCGGACCCTTCTTTAAGAGGCAAGTTTTTTTTTATGTAATGCTCTTAATATGAGGGGCTTACAATTTGCACCAAAATGCATAAAGATCGGTACCGTCTGGTATGCTCGAAGCTTGGTATCAATATTCGGCGACATGGAAACGCCTCGCTTTCTGATGACAAATTTACGCATTTACGTGCAAAAAACGCACGAAATTTTTGGTTTATTCAATAGATAATAAAAAAGGCGAATATTGATTGGAGGAATTTCTTGCTCAAATTTGTCCAATCGTGAGACATTCACGATCAATCATATAAATTCGAGATTTTTTTGCTTTTCCTAGTGTCCTGCAGAAAACCTTACGAAGTGTCTCTGGTTAGATGACATGGTCATGTGGTATTTGGTCATTGCGAGAATTTGTATGTACCATTTCAATACTTAACGCATTTGACCACAAACGTTTTGTTGCTGGGTACATTATCAAAGAGCTTTGGGGGTGATGTGGATGGCAGAAAGGCGAGCGAACGTTCAATGAAAATTAACTCTTAAACAACAATAATTTATTGTGATCCTACATATATTGTGGTCTTATATAATAAATCTTATTTGTTAACTGCAGCATGAGCTTGTGTTTTGTGTAGGAATAGGAATTTGAGCGGAGTTCTCTCTGTTTATACTTTTTAGTATGACGCGCTTGACATAGATGGTTCACAGCAATTCACGAAGAGCTACTGATTCCGATCAATAGCGGTGCGGCTTCTTCCTCCTTCCAGACAGCCTTTGATGTTTTCTGAGAGACACCACCACTCACCACGCGGTGATTGAATAAACACCCTTTGGTGAGACTTGATGGAATTCAATTTTGAAATGTGTTAGGGAAATCGCTTTTCGCAGGCTGTCGGTGATAATTTCGTGCAATTTTCAATAGTGACATTTTGAAAAATGATGAAGACTTGAATTTAACATATGCGTGGAAATATCTCTGATCGATTGGTGTAAAAATTATTGAAATTTGTCCAGGGGCAGCTGAGTTATTAACGTTCAAAATCTTTCATAATGTTGTTATAATGTATACATGTTCCATTTTCACAAAGTGTACCCCCATATAGAAATCACAGACGTCAAAATGAGACACCTCTGATTTTAAGTGTGAATGTTTGATAAAAAAAAGTGCAAAATTTCAACACTACCGAGGAAACAGCATAAGCACAACAACACCTTGCTTACGGAGTATTCACTGAATGAAAGAGACCGTGAAAGAGGACACTAAAGTTGAAAGATTTTTCTTCCGACTGTTTCATCCGTTATTTCTGACAGACCAGGAATCAATTTTGACAAACACCTTTTCCAAAGTAGGAAGATCAACAACAGTGGGATTTTCGAACATCTTAATTTATTTTCGAAGTGTCAAATTTAAGTGAAAATTCACCAAATGGAACACAGCCTGAGTATTCTTCTTTGGTTTAACGGCTTTCTCAATCTTAAAAACTCATAACGGCTACGATGAAATCTGCCCGAAACTTCGGCAGATGGTTATCTTGCTTAACGACGTGTCCAAACCATTTTTGGTTTGATTAAATGATTTGAGTTATCATTCAAACGTTCATGTAAAGTTCCATAACCATTTTAGTTGAAGTTTATCAGGGATAAACAATTTTCAACCATTTTTGGTAAAGTCAAGTAATGATTCGCATTCATGTAGGTGAGTAAAACATTCCCCGGAAATTTATTCCGACTCACCTGGAATCCCTAATAAAAATTGTATGGTTAATTTGCTTAACGACGTGTTCTGGGTATCATCCAAACCATTTGTGGAATAGTTCAATGATTTGGGTTATCGTTCGTTTATGGTTATTTTTTATTAGGGATGGCTGTTCGTAGTCCAAAAGTTTAAATATTCGCTTTAAAAAAATAAAATACCGATAAATACCGATTTTTTTAAACCTTCGACAGCGATAAGCTTGAAAACAATCTGGCAACGCTGCGTTCCTCCAGCGTTGCCAGTTTGTTTTCATGATTATCGGTATCAAATTATTAAAAAATCGGTATTTATCGGTATTCACTATTTTGTTTTTTGACTAAAATTGAAAGATGTACTTTCTATGTAAGTCGGAAGAAACTTCTGGGAAATATTTGAATTAGTCTCTTAATGGTACCAACAAAACTTCCAAAGGGAGAATAAAGAAGATCTTGTGAAGGAAGTTTGAAGGAAGTTCTAAAATATGTCTAACAAACATCCAATGGGGATCTTCCAAGACAAATATTGAGAAACTTCTGGTAAATTTTTTTAGGAACATGCGGAAAAAATATCCAGAAGCTAGAAAAGTTTGGAAATCGGAAGGCAATCCCGGAGGAGCCATTTCTAGGTGAAGTTAGGAGAAGCTCGGAAAAACCTTCCAATAAGGCAGAAAAAACCTACGGAGAGTGACTTATGGAGAAACTTCCAGAGGAAGACGAAATAAACTTCTGGGAGAACTCGATAGATACATCCGGTAGAACTTTCATTGAACTTCTTGGAGCAGATGGAAGAAACTTCCAGGGGAATCTGGGAAAATCTTCCTAAGGTAGATTGTATGAAAATTCTGGAAAAAGTCGGACGCCAGAGGACTTACGGAACAGTCGACTACTTCAAGGGGAAGATGATAAAATATCGGAAAGAAATAGATTTCTGGGGGATGTTAGCTGAATATTCTCTGAAGTTTATCACATGCTCTATTGATCCAGCAATTTTCCTGATATTTATAAAACATCCCTGAAAATTTCAAAATGTTCTTGAAGTTTTCGGAACTCAGGAATGTTTGGACTTCGGAATAACTCATACTAGGAACTACTTGAAAGTTCTTACAATTTTCCTAAAGTTAATGGGGCTGTTTTGAAGTTCTCTGGTCTCGTAACTTCCTTGATTATTATGGAACTACTGGAAAATCTCTTATCTTCTGTAAAAGTCCCTGTATCTTCTTTAGGGCTTTCAATTTATTTATTTTTCAAATTAATGAACATCATCATTTAAGTTCTCTGAACTACCCGCTATTTTTTTTAAGTTTTCGAAACAGCCGGTAAAAACACAGCACTTTCCTTAAAATGTTCTCACAATTTTCTAAAGTTCATATAACTTCCCTTACGTTACCAAAATTTTCATGAACCTCTCGGATCTTAACTGAAGTTTTCGGAAATTTCCTTGAATTTATATGTACTAATGCTTCCCTAACGTTATCTCAATTCTCCTAAAACAAATGGAACTATCCTGAAAACCATTAAATTTCTTTGAAGTTCTTTGGACTTGTGAAGTTTCCAAAATATTTCAATTTCCTTAAGTTCATTGGAGTTCTCTGGGCTTTCCTGAGATTCCCGGGTTCTTGGATTTGTACAGAAGTTAATGAAACTGTCTTTAATTTATCTGAACCTACCCAAAAGTCCGAACTATTCTGAAGTTTCAGAACTTCTGAAAAGTTCCTGAAGTTTTCCTGAAACTAATGGAACCACAATAAAACTCTGGAAGCATTTCTGAAGTTCCGGAGAAGTTGAAAAAACTGACGGGAGGAGACGGAATAACCTTTCGAGCGAAGCCAGAAGATGCTTCCAAGGGAAGTCGAAATAGCTTTCCATAAGGAATCGGAAAATAATTTACAGGGTAAGGTGGATGGAAATTCCTAGGGAAAGTTGGTAGAAACTTCGAAGGGAAGATTAAAGAAATTTCAGGAAGTTCAAAAATTACCGTTTTATTGGACCTATTTTTCTACTGAATAAAAGTATTTCTCGATTTCCAGATATTACTGGAATGGAGCCATCAGCTGTTTTTCGACTCTTTGGTTACCAAAAACGGCGAGGAAATGGAAGCATTCGTCGAAAGAGTATAAAGCATAAGACATTTTTGAAGATGATTTTTTTAGAGCAGGCTCAAAAATTGTAACTTTTAAAAAGATAAAAGTCTCTCACAATAGTTTCCTCTGAAAATTCAGTGCGGGCAGGCAGTAATCATTTTGATTATTAGTAAAAAAAATCGGTATAAATCGGTATTGTAGCTCAAATATCGGTATTCTGAGAAACCTTATCTGTATATCGGTATCAAGTTTGAAAATCGGTATAAATACCGATAAATCGGTATGTCTGGCAACGCTGCGTTCCTCCTCGGCCGTAAGTCAGCTCTATTCACACTGAATGTATAATTTTTTTGATTTTTCGGAGATATTTGGACTTTGTTACGAATTGAGATCAAAAGAAAATGTGTAGCTGTCAAACGCACGAGGGCATCAGCATATCGAAAATCCGTGAGTAAACATCAGTATCCGTGTAATTTGATAGCAGAATCTGGGGCGAATTTTGAATGGGGATCATTCCGAACCCGGAAATTAAAATGAGTCTACAAGCAGAGGATTTCACAGGTTTTTGCACCGTTTTTTTTGTCCTAGCGCAGATCTCTCTTATAATTGATGATTGTTACAGAAATTCCGCTGAAATACGAAGACCAGGATACTGCGTTTCATCATGTGCTGGTGAAGGAAAACATTTCCAAAGTGGTTCACAAACTGAAGCCTGCCGGAAGAACACTGTACGTGTTGAACGTTCCGCCGTATGTAACGTCAGAGGCTCTTCAAAAAGCATTTAGCTCAACAGGTGCGGTGGACAGGGTGATTCTTCAGGAAAAACCAGCTGAGGAAAATGATTCCACGAATGAACTACTGGATAACAAATTCAAGGTTGCTTACGTTGTTTACGAGCAGCCTTCATCGATGAAGAAACTGCTGAAAATACGAAAACTTAATGCACTGAACGCGGACGGAACACTGCTAACGGGTATCGATAAATGGACTAAAGCCTACCTGGAATGTATTCCCGATCCGGTTAGTATGCAGCGGGAGATAGATGCGTACATGGCCAGTTACGATCGCAAGGTTGCCAATGAGAAGGAACAACCGGGAACGGAAGCGGATGACGAAGGTTGGGTCACGGTGACCAAATCCAATGCAAATACTTTCGTTCAGCGGGAGGCGACCGTTAACAAACTGGAGGATAAGATTAGCAAGGACCACAAGCAGAAGGAACTTAAAAACTTCTATACGTTCCAGATCCGCGAGTCGAAGAAGAACGATATTGTAAGTTTGAGGAAAAAGTATGATCGAGATCTGCAGAAGATGAAGCAGATCAAGAAAACGAAGCGATTCAAACCTTATTAAATGTGCGAGTAATAAATTTAACTTTGAATATTGTTTCAACAGCTTTGTAGAGAAATTTTCAGTCTCATGACTTACACGATTTGCACAAGGATACTTTCGGCGTAAATAATACTTACATGCTTTAAAATTTGAATCTACACTTACACAGCCTTGTTTGCGTTGATAACAATCTGCAGCAGCTTGTTTTTGCTTGGAAGGGTCTCTAATCGACACACCAGTTGTGGAATGTTTCCAAAGATACAGCGTGAAGTTAGCCCCACCTGTACAGCTTGGGCAAACCGTTCCAGGCAGCAGTGGATGTACTGTTCGTCCAGTGACTTTCCCATCTTCAACAGAGACTCCATTTCTGCTTGCAGGGAATTGATAATAAGTCCCAGATGCTGAGCATTCAATGCGCTCGGGGGCGCAGAAACAGGGGGAGTCGCTTCCAGCAAGCTTTGTAACACGGCCAGATGCAGTTTGCTGTACAAATCTTGCTGTTTCGTAATCAACATAGAAAGAACACACCAACGAATTAGTCCAGCTAGCGGAGTGACCACAGGCATTGCGATTGCTCCCGTGGGAAGTGCCATGGGCTGCTGTGAGGCTAGGCACAAAGCAGGATTCTCCGCAACCCACTCGGTAATGACGTCCAGTAGGAGATCCGGCGGCGCTACCAGCTGGCCTTTACCCCCGTTGAGGTAAAGATCTGTAACGGCTGTCATGAAATTGGCCGCAAAACGAGGCGCAACCATCGGTAAGGATTTAAGCTGCTCGGATGACTTGTTGGAGAATATGACAAAATCCTTAACGATGCACTGAGCCAGTTCCAGACTCGGAGGAGAGGTACAACCGAGCTGTTGCATCCACGTTCCTGCTGCACATAATAGCTAAAAAACATATTTGTTACATCCGGTTGCAGTAAAAAAAAACCCCACGAGAACGAACCGGTGCTATAGATCCGGAAACAGCGGTACTGATCAGCTTATTAAGAACGCTACTCCTTCCGATGGAACCACCAAAAAGGGAAAAGAAAATCGCATTCCGAGTTGCATCTGGTCCCGGGCGGGAGAAAAAATCACACAGAACCAGTACCAGCTGAAACTCCTCCACCGACGATAGCCTTGGAGCGATTGGTTGTTTTTGATACTGCTGACCGCGTTGCTCGTCCCGCCGTTCCCGGAAGACGAACTCCCCGATCAGATCCATGGCGATGTCGTGATTATTGCGGTGGATGAGATTTTCTGCCGAGAAAAGCAAATTTGCTAGGAAGCCAGTTGGTTTCATGAAAAATTAGAAGACATTTACCAATTATTGGCAGTGCTTCCCGTGCCATATCCGGGAAATCCATCTTGCGGAGAATTTGACGCTCTTGACTGGACATTTTGCGCTGTTTGTAAACGATGTTTTAAGAAAATTTAAATTTATTAGATTTTTTTGTTGCTACCTTGTTTTGATCTAAGAGGGTTTTGATCTGTTTTGATTATCGAATAATTTTGACATGGACGTGAGGATAAGACCAGAGACCGATGCGGTAGTGTGAAAGCAGCTGAATATAGAGTACACAGCAAAAAAAAAGATATAACTTCGAACAACCCTAATACAAATCTGGGTACTACCAACAATAAATACGAAACTAACGATTTTAAATTGGCTCACTACTTGACTAGCCTATTGGTCCCAAGGAAACGAGCATCGTACTCCATTCTAGTCGAAATTCTACTACTACACAATGTTTGTTTTGATTCGCTATGAAAGTTTGACAGATAATATGAGGGGTTAGTGGATATTCGAGGGGTGAATCGATTAGCTTGGGACCTAAGAGAGTACCAGAGCTGAGTCAAAAAGTTGAGCACGTTTGTTCGGGACCTTCTAGTCTTAGAGTTACCTCTGCGGTGGGTTGTATCATATAGGTAACTCTAAGACTAGTAGGTCCCGAAGAAACGTGCTCAACTTTTTGGCTCAGCTCTGGTACTAACTTCGGTCCCAAGCTGATCGATGCACCCCTCTGAACATAGGAAAATTCACGAACACCTCATTTTATCAATCTAACTTTCATTGCGAATCAAAACAAACATTGTGTAGTACTAGAATTTCGACTAGAATTGGGCAGGCTTGCAATTGCTCATTACAGCTAAAATGCTATTTTTCGATATTATGAATCAATGGGATACTATAATGATAATTTTTATTTGTAAGATGCAAGAAGAGGTGGTAAAGTTTGTATATGACCTATAAAATTTGTCAATTTTGCTTTCAGAAGGTCACAACTAGCGATTAGCTGTAACGATGAGCAACGCGATGAGCGAGCAATCAGCGATCATAAAATCGCTAGTTGTGACCTTCTGAAAGCAAAATTGACAAATTTTATATGTCATGTACAAACCTGTACCCTCTTCTTGCATCTTACAAATAAAAATTATCATTATAGTATTTCATTGTTTCATAATACCGAAAAATAGCATTTTAGCTGTAATGAGCAATTCTAAGCCTGGAATTGGGTACGTTAATCGATTTGCTTGGGACCAATAAGCTAGTCAAGTAGTGAGCCAATTTAAAATCGTTAGTTTCCACAGGTTGGTACTACCAACAATCAATACGAAACTATCGATTTGAAATTGGCTCACTACTTGAATAGCCTATTGGTCCCAAGCAAATCGATTAAGGTGATTCCCTGTAGCGTCCTTTTCCGTGTTACACTTCGCAACTTCACAAGTAAAAATATTAAGGTTTCTGTGAATGCACGTAGCTGAAACTACTACCTGTTGTTTGCTGCGGAGGAGCAACAAATGTCTGAAATTTGCAGATGTATAAACTGCGTAGATCTTGAGTTGTGTGCTCTCGAAATTGCGAGGTGTGATGGGAAAATGGACTCTACAAGGAAACACCTTAACGTACCCAATTCTAGTCGAAATTCTAGTACTACACAATGTTTGTTTTATAAATAAACAAATACCATAAACGAACGATAACCTAAGTAGTCGAGCTTTTCAACAAATGGTTTGGATGATACCCCGAACACGTCGTTAAGGTTCAATTTACTTTGATGCTTTTTGGAAAATTTCAAAAGCTGTTTTTTCCGACGTATTATTTCAGATTGCAAAAAGCTCGCACTATTCGATTCCTTTTGATATTTTACACAAAAATTTTGTGTAATGACGCGAGCTTTTTGCAATCTAAAATAATGCGTCGAAAAAAACTGCTTTTGAATTTTTAAAAAATGCATCAAAGTAAATTGAACCTTAAGCAAAATAACCATACCATTTTTATTAGGGTTATCTTATGGAATGTATAAGGCTGATGTTTTGGTAAAAATGTATAAGTTAAACGCGTGTAGTGGCTTCTTTTTCCGTGGGCCACGCTGTGCCACCACCAGACGTAATAGGACACAGTGCTGAATCCCCGAAACCGCTGAATGCCCGTCGTAGATCCTGGTTGACCGTTGAGGGAGCGCAAACCGTAAGCTAGCGAAAAACCCCACTTACTGCATACAGTTGAAATAGCTCTAGAAACAAATTTTGAAATTGAAACAGACTAGTTAGTTGGCACCAAAACTGATTTAGGTAGAAAAATCTTAAAACTTTGTCTCGTTCCATTCAGGTTGAACTAACCCTTTCAGCTCAGTTGAGAGCATTGATAGATTTAATGAACCATTAACATTTCACTGCACACCATTCGAGCTCTGAAATAATTAGAATAGATAAGCGTTACCATTTAGTCTAGATCCTATCCAATATATTTTCAGCTCTTGCCGGTTTTGGGACCTGGTAAGTGTTCGTTGAGTGAGATAGGTAAAATCACACTCGCTCTAAGGAGAATACTGGAGTCCTTTTTGATTGGGTCGTATGTAACAAATGTAAACAAATTGACATTTTAATGCTACCAGACACTACTCTGCTTACTCTTACCATGGGTAAAATTGGCTCCCGCTACCTCATTTCTGTTTCATTTTATCGTCAACAAACTATTCGTCAAATGTGCCAACTGACCAAAACATAGCTCAATTTTACATACGACACCTAACTTCTATGGGGGTCCCAACTAACAATTTTCACAATGTAAACGCTTTACTCATTTCATTTATACAGCCTCAAGCTGTATTCAAACGTTATAGGATATGAGGAAACCTTTATTCAACCTCTATACAAGCAAATCTGGCGAACTTAGTCAGCTAATTATGGTTGTTGGGACAGTTGGGACAAGCTCTTATTGCGTCCATTAGTGCTTCTATACAGCTGTTATCCTGCTGTTTAGTTGTGTGTCAACTTGAAAGGCGCTTATTCAACCTTTTCCCGGTTATCCAATAATCACTACACAGCTTTCTCTTGAAGCCGGATTAAATATTGTTTACAATTTTTTTTATGGAGGCATTTATTGAGTTTATTTAGCTGTCAAATCAAATTAATAGAAATTAGTTACAAGTCATCACCAAATTATTTTAACCTGCACCGGAGAGAACCTGGAATCGAACTCGAGACGACCGCATTGGCAAACCTTGACACTACCAACTGTACTACGCCAACACTTTGAACTGATGTAAACAAATCAACATGCCCTTCTACAACAAAATCACTGAGTAGATGCTTCATAATAGTGCACATTAATCACTTTTCTCGACTAGTTACTTCAGCTTTGTAAAGGAGCAGAGTAAAAGATGTAAAACTGCACACGTCTAAAAATAAACCTAGTTGACTGTGAAAATGCTTCCGAAGTAGCTCTAACACAGTTTATTAGCTGAGTACAGGATATTTAGTTGTTGAAAAAGCACTTTTGATGTTTATGCTATTCAGCAAGAGTGGTTGGTTGTGTAAAAGCCATCAAATGAGTAATATATTCACTTTATTAGCTTTGTTTTGCAGCTACAAGTTAAAAGTTGATTAGCATGTGTATAAAAGTGACATTAGCGTTTACCGGCTGCTGTTATTCAGCGCGACTGACAAATTGAATAATGGTTGTGAAAAAGTTGATGATTGATTGATTTATCTTTATTAGGGAGGCTTTCAGCCTGGGGCTGGTTCGCCTCCACTCTTGTGAAAAAGTTGAGTAAACGCTCTCCAAAACTATTTTGCTAGCTTCTGCTTGTAGTTGTATCTGCAGCTTCTTTTCAGCTACTTTACAGTACAACGCTGGAAAAGTTGGCTTAAAAAGCTGAAAATGTTAGTTGGGGTGTCAATCGTCATATGTTACAAATATGACAGAAGCTTAAAAACTGTACATAAGACCTGTTGTTTTTTCCTAATAAAAGTGAAAATTTTGCAAATATTCAATGTTAAACGGTTGTGGGTGGTCTATAAAAAGATAACTACTTTTTTTGTGAGTAATTACTCATAATAATACATTTTTAAACCGCTAAAAAGCGCACGGTCGAATGTAAAAACACGGCATGCAAAAGGTCGTATAATATTGATTGGTTAAAAACGTTTGATTTTCAACAGGAACGCTATCAATACCTTACTCAGTTGATAGCAACACTCCTGAGATGTTAGTTAATGGGAATTTTGAAAGAATTATCCTTGTCATTGAAAATAGAAACAATTTTTTGATCACCAAATGTTAACATACGATCCAATCAAAAAGGACTCCAGAATAGTCTTTGTCCGGACTCATCTGTGTCTGTGGTTTCTTTCACAAGAGTGGCGCTTAAGTCATAGGCATTATTAACCTTCGTTTAATTGACCTAAGGGTCGATTTGAAATTTAATTAGTTGGTTTTGGTAAATTTGCTTAGCGCGGAGAAAGAAAAGTTACAATTAGTCTGAATGATCTTCTTGATGTAACCGGAAGCATCATGTGAAAATATGCATTCAGCATCGAGAAATGAAAATATTTTACAAAAAATCTTATCATTTTTCACTGGGGAACATGCGCTGCCTTGTTAATGTTATGCTTTATGCTAGATACTATATAGGTTGCATACATTAATGCGCTATCGCACATATTTATTGCGGGAAGCATACATTTTGGTTGCATTTAAAACACTTTTATAAGGTTCCCACTATCTGTAACTCCTGTTTTACGTAATTCATAACATAAATTTAAACATTTAGGCTGTTGAGGCGCATATTTCACACCCTCAACTCAGAATTTTGGACATTAAAAATGCTTATTTATGATCGAGAAACATTCTGTTTTCACACAGATCCTGAAGCTGGTAATGTAGCAAGTTGATTCATATATCAAATATTAGGAATGCTGTTATTTATGCCTATGAAAACTCTTTCAAACCATTAAACAAATCTTACATCGAAAGGCATAATTTAATTGTGATCAGAAATAGTAAATTTTTAGATTAGAATACCGTGTACTCCCGTTAATCTGAACGACACAGCGTGCATATTAACGGGTTTCATTTTTAATTTGAACTTCTAGTAACCTAACGACCATAAAAAAAGCGTGTTTCTGGTAGTCTTATTTGATGATTTGTTTTGATTC